AMCMWAMSWAAGAACTGATTGATAACAGCTGACATCAATAAAAGCAGGAACAGTACTTGATCTAGATGTGCCTGGGGAGAAAGAGGTCAGTGAAACTTTTGCTTGATTAGAATTTTCTTCAGTGAAGCACCTGTGTACATGCATATATCTGTGAGTTTGTGGAGATAGATACAGATATATACACACAAGCATCTACATGTAAAGAGCAAAAGGTTCATAACTTGYTCTGGCCAGAGGCTKTGCAAGTTCACCCTTCCCAYRTAACATGATGGCTGGAGTAAGTTGTGTTTTTATGCATGATAATTACATTTATCCATTCTGCTCATTCTTGAGACTGCATATTTGCTCTCTCCAGCCACAGGCACTGCAGACGAAGCATTGTATCATTTGTTTGGTTTGCATCGTACTGCAGGAGGCTCTTCTAGATATCCTGACTGGAAGGGGTGAATCTTTGGCACTGGCCAAAGAGGTTAAGCAATGCCTACAGGTAGTTTTTTAAGGAGCAGTGTGACTTATATGAATGGTTTAATTTACACATGATTGCACACCATKGCAGTTCTACTGAAACCTGATATATTCCTTATTGCTGCTCTGTTTATTCACAAGGACAAGAAGGATTTATGTTCTAATTCTTCTGACGCTGCATTTTCTCAGTCTTGGCAGTAATTTTGTACTGTTACAGAAAAGAGTGCTTTAAAGTGCTGTAAATGGATTTCTGCAGATTTTTTTTTTTTCTGGCTAAGAACAAGATTTGGCTAGGAACAAGAGCTGGCTGTAGAATTTTTGTGTGTTACCTGAGGTATGATGATGGTAGGTAAGAGACTGAACTTAATGCTACATTCCTTGACATGAGTGAGTGCATCCATGGTCACATGCCACATGTGACAGTGTGTCTCCTTCCAACAGCAATGGTTTCTCATCTAATCAAAAGTAGGCTTCTGCATTTGAGCAATGTCTCCTTTTCATGCCTTAAGCTAGAATAAAATCTGCTCATGTTTTAGTGTTTTAGGAAATCGCTGTGAAAAATGTTTTCAGACTTGTGCAATTGGGAAGGTGCATAATGAAAAGWGAAGAATCTGTCAGAACTGGTGAGGGCTACAGCCAGGAAACACTGGGCTGAAGACACAGTCTTCTGAACATTTTATGTTGAAGTATGCAGAGCACTACATTCTCATTTTTGGGGGGTTTGGGGTGAGTTTGTTAGTTTGTTTTGGTGGGGGTTTTTGTAAGGCCCTTGTAGCTTCACATTTGTGCTTTTTAAGTGGGAAAGCTAATCCTGAAATTAAAAAGCAGGAAAAAACTTTACCTTGTCCAGCACTCGTTAAACAAGCCTTCTGGTTTTATTAGAGAAAACTGTTAATTTGTCAATTTGGATAGAAAGTGATTCCTCTGTAYTTTTTTCTTGCTTAAACAAGTTCTTACTGCAACAGGCCAAAATTTCAGCTGTCTGTGGGTGGCAGTGAATTCCAGAAATACCTTGAAACCATGTTTAATAAATACAAATTTGTTGGTCAGCTATTAAGTACCTTCAGCAAATAAAATTGTATCTCTGTTCCTGTTGTATATGTATATACTATTAATCACTCATTCAGACTGAGCTGTAATTCACTTAGACATGTTACATTTTTGAATTAAAAATTGTTATGCTTCCCCTCACTTTGTCCTTTGAGTTCCCCTAAAATGGGAGTCTGCTTAAATATTTATAAAGAAGCTTTGCTGGTTTTGCTAAATCCCTTAAAATGATCAGGAGCCCTGAAAACCACACCAGTGGTTGCCCAACTGCCCATCAATTGCCTGAGCTCTTAGGTGATGATTTGGGGGGATAAACACTATGCMCTCGGTGTTTGTGTGTCACCTGACACACTGGGCTCTGGTTTATGGCTGGAGCTTCTAGATACTGTAATAATGTCTTGTAGGAGTGTAGATTTCAATAAACAGAAGTTTGTAAGTGTGTATGTATGTATACATRTACACATTCATTCTACTGCCATAATTATTCAATTACATATTTCATAGGAGTTAAAAGTAAGGCGCTTTTTTAGCTGCAAACTACAGGACAGTTTTAGTCTTATAAATTCAAGAATTCGAGTGTATTAATCTCTTGGCCTTAATGAGGCACTGYTTTATTTTATCACTTTAAATCAGAAACTGTACCTGAAGACTGCAGGCACAAGTGAATATTGAGAAGCTGTTTGCATTATTACATTCTCTATGTGTAATGTATTCTAGTTACTGCTGTTCTCCTAGAATTACAAAAAAAAATACATTTCTCGTTGTTTTGACATTTTTCCAATCCATATTTTACTGAAAATTATATATCTCTAAAAGAATTTTGGTTTGATAATGTTGCAAGTAAAATCTATTCGCTTAGAAAGTGTTGGCTATTTCTGAATGTGAGCAGCCAGATTTTTCACCAAATTGGTCCTGTTGGGAAATAATTATCTAAAATCTTTCAAAGTTTTTAAACCAGTATTGARTTCCTTAATAGTCTTAAGATGTTGTGAACAAAATCTAGAAAATCACATTTTGATGTATTCAGAACCTAAGGAAGAAAAGAATAATTCACAAAACTAAATCTATTTGACAATATTACCTAAAATTAACAAGGTAATTAAACACTTAGGGGCAAATAGCAAGATGATGATAAGCCTTAAGATAACGGTTTATCCCCTATAAGAATAAACTTTGTGCCTCTTAAACTGCTGAAATGATTGCTCAGAGTGAGCTTTTCATATCCAGCTATGTGTCCAAAAAAATGTAGGTTAGTGGGCTGTGCTGTGTCACTGGGTCTCCATCTGTAAACACAACTCAGCTGAAATGTGTTTCATCTCAGCACAAAGTAGCACTCCATAATCTGGGTTRGTTTGAAATATTTGGACAAAAGCCAATTTCTTTTGCCCACATGCAAAATGCAATTGCTGTCTGTTCTTTGCAAAATCAGGCTTAACCATATGCTTTTACATTAACATCTGTTTCTTAGAGCTCATGCAATTTTCTCATGTTAACCATGCACTAAATTTAAAGAAAATCCCCGACAATATAAATGCTAGGAAATAAAGGAAATGTCAGTGGTAGGAACATCATTACAGTAAATCTATGTATTTGAATCTACACAGTAAATGCACCCAAACACTGCAAACCAGCAGTGACCGTCACTCCACACGAAATGGAAAGCTGGATTCAGCTGGCTCACAGAGCTGAGCTGAAATACAAGAATTCAAAGGCATTTCTGTTGTTAGTTAGGGAACACAAAGGCACATCAGATGAGGTTAGCTGGGCAGCTGTGTAGGTACCTGGTGTGACAGAGGGCACGGGAAGTTTCCTGTGGGTGGATGCACGCTCCAGAGGTTTTTTATACAGGCGTGCACCTGAGAAGAATAACTTTCCTCTCCAGCCAGTCAGATTGCAGGTTATTTAGAGTAACATTACCAGGCAGTGCTCGAAGAACTTACCATGTTACACTTAAGTCTTTCACATGTGCAGTACAAAATCAAAACTCTCTTAGACTTTGAAGTCCCAAGCATACAGACCGTTCTTRTCTCCTCCAAACTCTTGTTCTGTTTTTGCAGAAGACGAATTCCCTGCATTCGCCTTACGTCAGCGGAGCTGAATCAAGCAAGCAACTTACTGTGGGCAAACTAGCACATAAATAATGAGTGTGGCCACTTGGCAGCAGCCCAAGCGCAGGGAAAAGTTCATAAAGCTCCCACTGCCAGGAAAAGGTCAAGTCTTCCTTGCCCTCCTGAGCTTCTGGCTGGGGGAACTCTGAATATCCTCTCCGCCCTGAGTCACAGACAGTATGGGGAAGTAACAGTCCTAAGGAAAACATAACTTGCTCATTGTTTTTAGTGCAGGTCATAACCACAGGAAGTATTGTATCCATTTCATCCAGGATGAAAAACAAAATCATTAAAATCCCACTTTCATCAGAAGATCTTCCAGATGATTGCTTTAAAACGGATGTCACGGATTTGGAAGGTGAACCAGATGTGTATTCCTCACACATTTCAAGAACTGGAGAGGTTTATATGTGTTGTTTCCTTTGCTGCCCTTCTGCCCTCCCTTGTCCTTCTTGGCAAAGATTCTGCCAAAAGAAATTCAATTCCATTAGAGGACAGGAAAATGTAAAAGCAAGTTTGAAAGTCATAAAGCTAGAAAATAACCCCTGGCTAATTAATGAACAGCTGAAAGCTGCTGATAGAAATGGGTGAGGCAGAGGGAATGTGGATTTTTTTAATACAATTTATAGTCATTTGCATTTTGGGGTGAACAGCTTTTGAATTCAGGTAATGCTCTCCTGAAGAGTGGCAAAGTTAAAAAAATGAACCTTTTGTGTCATGGCAGCTGTTCCATGCATGGGCTGCTGCATATCTCTAGGAGTCACACCAAGGACAGGAAACACTTGGCTCCTCATTCAAATGCTCACCAGCTTATCTCCTCTGAAATTTGACAATTAAAAGATACTTTTTAATTTATACTTGGGAACTAATATTATGATGTTAACTGTATTAAGCTGATGTCGTAAGCATTGYGTTCCACAGACCTGCCTGACTTTACAAGTAGTGCAAGGGAGTGGTACTGAGGTTGGTCAGTAGCTGTTATTGGGAATGCAGATACGCTGCTGTTGGAATGACAGCCATGGCTTTTTTTAAGATGTGGTCTTTTTAGCAGGCATATTCCCCCTGTCAAATTTATTGTATTTRTCACCAGGGCTGAATGTAGCTCAGACTGGTGCTGCTGTTGAAGTTCTTTCCTAAGCTTTGGAATGGGACTGATACTGGACATAAACAGTTTATTTGTTAAATKGAATCAGAGGAATTGGCTTACTCTGTGTTGTGTCTCGTAGCAAGGGGATGCCATGTGTAGGGAGCGCGCTACAGCTTAATTGTGAATCAGGCAGGCACAGCTTCATTTATTGCTTATAACTCATTGAGGAATCAGACTGATACTCTGAAATGTAGCTTTTGTTGACATAATTTCTAGAAATACTTCTGGTTCTACACTCAATCTCTAAGTATTTCTTGTTTAACATTGAAAATTGAGTGGTAGCCCATGGAATTAAAACTTCTCCATACTTCTGTGAATGGGCAGACTGAGAGCAACATAGCGCCTCAGTTCTATGTGTAAAAGTTATTAATTTTCAGTTATTAATTCAATGTCCAATTCTACAAAGCTGTGCATTATTTGGTTGGCTTTTCTGTTTCTCTAAACACTCGTGAGTTTTGCCATCTAGACCATTGGTGGAAGACAAAATGCAACAGGCTGCCAAATGTGATGAAGTAAAGCAAACTTCAAATATATTCAGAGTGTGTGTATTTTATTGTGAATTGTATATCTTGGATAGGTCTGGGGGAGGTGTTAAGTCTGGTAATGTGAAACCCAATTGGTAGTGTGGGTCTTTTTGCCACTTAGTGGCAAATTATCAGGAAAGCTGGGAAGAGTATTTTTCCTGGCTGTGTCACTGAACTCTTCAGTGGCAATCTCTTCAGTGTATAGGCAAAGCAAAACTGTATTCATATTACTGGATTATAGATTAGAGTGTTTCARTTTTAAAACAAATGTATTAATTCCTCTGCTGTTAATAGTAGAAATTACAGCATTAAAATGGTGTGAAATTGTTACAACTTTAAAAGACTGTGATAAACAGGAATGAAAATATGATGGTCCTCTAACCCATCAGGAAYGAGAAGCATGCCAGATTTATGCCAAAAGATGGCAGAGTTAAACCAGAAAAGTTAAATCATATTCTTGTCAAATGAATTGATAACCACAGGTAACCAGGACCAGAGGATAATTACTCAGAACAGAACTCTGCAGTAATATTACAACTCCAGACCAAAGTGTGGTGCCTGCATCTGAAAGCAGGCATCTGAAATACCCAAGCACAGGAAATTGTACAAATGTGAGGTGTATTTCCAAGAGGGTCTTGGAGGAATATAGGGAACAACGGGGCAAGTCTGACATCTGTGCTCGTTAACTGAGAGGAACAGCAGTGCTGGCGATAAATAAGAGGTATAGTAAAGAAGGTTTTGTGTGTTATTTGACAGTGTCTACAAACATGTCATGAATGGTCCGCCAGTTTACAGCGCATGTGGTTTTCCACATGCTTTTCAYAGGTCACTCACTAAAGATCCTTACAGAAATGGAGTTTTGTTGGGGTAAGGAGTTTTATCTTTTGTTTTAATAATTCAACAGCAAGGAGGTAATAAATGGTCAGGTTTGCAACAACCCAGGAGGACCTGTGCTTCTGAGTGTATTCCTAAAAGCTAGAGGAAAATAGCGTGGTGACAATAATGTAGAATTATTCAAGATGGTGAAAAGAAAAATAAGCTGCAGAGTTCCAAAAGAATCGCTGACATTTTATGAGAGGTGACAATGTGATAAATGAAATTCAGTGMTGACAAGTACCACATAATACAGTCTCTAACTCAGTACCACCTAGGAAGGAGATCTTAATGGCACCAGAGACAGTTATATACCACAGCTGTATAGCTGCAAAACCACATCACTAATCAAAAACACAAAGGGATTGTTTCATTTTTATAAGGAAATGGAAAAACCCAACCAACCAATAACCAACCGGAAAAGAACAGTGAAAAAGGAACATTGTTTTTGCCACTATAATGACTCAGAGATTGTCTCACATTTTCAGAGTGTGCCTCAAGTCTTTGATTCAAACATTCAGAGTCTTGGAGCTCCGGCAGGATTTGCTGGAGGACCTGGGTGACCAGGTGARTGACTGATGAAAAATGGCGGGCTCACAATTCTAAAGCAGGTTGTCCTCATTGCTGGAGACATCCGTCAGCAGCCAGCTAAACGTCTACAGMATGGTCTTGGCATGATCTGCTGAAGTATCAACAACTGCAAGGTGAATTTGTTCCAGGTTGGCATCCCTGACAGAGAAACAGCAGTGAAATATCTCACATGAATGAAGGGATGTTCCTCTAGGCAGATGCTACAGCTGACAGCTCAGCTGAAGTGACTTTACACCAATTTAGGCAGCATGGGAAACAGACAGGAGAAGCTGAAAGGCACTGTGCTGCTGGAAATCTATGGCCTAGYTGCCACTACTGGAACCTGGTGGGATGAATCCCATGACTGGAGTGCAACTGTCAATGGCTACAGACTGTTTGCAAGGAACAGGGGAGAAAGGAGAGCTGGAGGGGCTGCCCTGCACATCAAGAGCTGGATTGAGTACATTGAGTTGTCTCTGAAGAGCAGACGTGAGCAGGTCTGGGAAAGCCTGGGATAAGAACCAGAGACCAAGCAGCATAAAAACTGTGTTTGGTGCCTACAGGTCCCAGATCAAGGGCTTGGACCTAGATGATCTTTGGSTGCCTTCCAACCCAAATCATTCTGTGATTCTAAGGAATCCTTTGAAATTGTGCTCACACATAGGGAATCWTCATACTCAGGAGTACGGAAGAGTGTAGAAATGGTTAGTCAAGATTTTTTGGTGGTCTGAGTGGGACCTCCCTTCACTTTTCTTTAAGTGAAGACAACTGTAGTATTATTTCAGCACACATTCTAATACCAGAATTAACAGATTRGGGGTTTCTTTTAAACTAGTAATTTCTTTATTAATTTTTTGCCGAGCTTCTCCAAGTGTCTGTTACCATAGCAAAGACCATTTAGATGCTACACTACATAATTTGCATGAAGAAATTGGCTAAAGTGGTACAGCTGCACGCGGAAGGCAGGGAAGGAATAGAGAGGCTCAACCTCTGGATGTGAAAAGTGCATTTTGACTGCTTGAAGTCATGGGCAAATCAGATCCTTTGCCCTTGTTTGCACATCTTGACATCAGAGGCAATAGAACTTATCCCTGGATTTTTTTTACACTGAATAATTCCTGTTTAATTATAAAGTCACATTCTTCAGCTTCCCTCAGCAATGAGTTTCCGGAACATATTCAAGTCTTCTGTAGTTAGTTTTTCAAAATCTGAAGCTGTTAGCCTTCAAGGGTTTGTTTTAGATTGAATTTCATCATTAATCTCAGCTCTTCTGTTTTAAATAGGGACAGTTTTTTCCCTTGGTGTCACGTCTTTTTCATCTTCTTATTCATGCCACCTTTTTGGAGAGCCACTGCTCCCTGCAAAAAGAAATCACTAAAGCTGAGTTCTCTCAAAGCTTGGGAAGAATTTCAGCTCTTCGCCGAGGAACTCCCTGCCTTGCCTTGGGGTGTTGTCTTACCTCCTGTGGTCCCTCTACCATTTCTCAACCGGTTGTTTAGAGAAGGACTCAATGCCATCTGCTATTTTTTCCTAATGGCAAGGAAAGAGATCTTGAACTAGTTCCATGTGGCTTTTTATAGACCTGAGGTTATGATGGTCTTAATATGCTGAACTGGAAGTTTTACAGCCGGGGCTGCCATTACTTGGTCTGTTTGTGGCTGGTTACTATATACAAATGAGAAGTCAACTTAAGCTGGCTGTGTCAAGAATGAACACCCCACTCTCAGGGCTAGAGGCTTTGGTTTACTGCAGTTACCACCATTAACACTGGCAGAACTGTAATTTAACAGCTTACTTTTTTGATTTTGTTGTGCTGCTTGATTTTTTGTTTTGTTGGGTTTTGGGAGGGTTTT